AATTTGTGGAACTTCTGATATCCAAAATAAATTATTCTTTAATAGATAAAATATATTTTAATAAAGTATCCACAAGTAGGGAATACATTTTGTTAAAAATATTTTCCATTTTCATCTTTCACTTGCATATTTTCATTTTTCTTACTTACATTCATTTTTTTTTTAATTTATTGTTGTTATTATAATTATTTTAAATTAACTACTCTTTTCTCTTTTTTTCCCCTCAGCATTAAAAAAAAAAGAAAAGAGAATGTTGTTGATAAATTATTGTAGTTTGCAAAGTCATCTGAAATTTAATACGAGTGTTTTTTGTTGTTGTTGTGATAAGATAATACATCATACCTGTAATTTACTATAATTGTATTATCACCCTTTTTGAAAACAAACAATTTTAGCCTGCTTCTAGGCATCAGGAAAAATACTAGAAGAGATTGCTGTATAATGGTGTGGCTAATGAGCTTTGGCGTTCTCTCAAAAATGTAGCAGGAATCTCTCATCTAGTCCTGATGTAATCCTATTAGGCATTTGTTTAAATTTCATTAGTATGAGTGATTTCTCCGTGTGAGAAACATCTCCCATTAAATCAATTCCATAGAAATTATCATTCTTATTTTGCATGACAGTAACCAGTAAACAAACTAGAAAATCATTTAGCTAGTTAAACTGCTCATATTGAGCTCTTATATTATTTTTTGTTTTGTACAATGATACTGTTGATATACGCAATTAACTTTCTTTTATTGTATTGTATATTTTCCTCATTTTAGCTTTTAGTTTTAGTTGATTGATGATATCATTGTTTAACCAAGATGGGTATTTACGAGACACAATGTGGAATTTTGGCACATCCCGCATCTATAATTGCATTTAATGTGGTATAAAAGAAATCGCACATCAAATTAACTGACTTCATTGAGCCCAAAACGAATTCAACTGACCAATCGATGCTTGATGATATCATCAAAGTTTGCTAATTTATAATATTTTCTAACAGAGTTGACACTAGGACTGAAAACATTTGTACATTGAGTAAACTGTAACTTCAACATTAAGAGGTGGGTGGAATGGATCCACATTAAAAACTGACATTTCTTTAGAAACAATACATTTTATATTAGCAGGAATCAGATGAGAAGTCTAACATTTCAATTTTCAGTCATGTTAAATTGGGACAGTTTCTAAAAATTAGTCAATTTCATTATATATTAAAGATTCAGACCTGACATGACTGTATAATTAATATCAGTAGATAAATCTGATTCACTAAATTTCAGGCAGTTTGTCACCAAAGACCACAATCTCGTCAGACCAGACACTCTGAAGCTAAATTAATTATTTAACAAATTTTTTCACTTGTTAATGGCAATACAAGATGGTATATTAGGACAGTAATTATAATACATACATTATAAAACTTAATTTCAACACTGACAATCTCAATGTTGGGGCATAAAGAAAAAAATATAACAATATCAATTCTTTCTACATCATATTTTTGTTTGATGACAAGAATTAAAAACTCCTTCACCTCTATGTTGAATATGATAAAAACATTAATATTAATGAACTCGGATGAGAGTATCTCTGCTTGCAGTCATATTTCAGTAACACAATTTACTTCAATATTTCTAAGATCATATAAAAAACACAAAGAATTCTTTGAGACAGCTTTTTGACCATACTTCTCACATGTTGATATTAATAATGCAGATATTTACAAGTATTAAAATTTACATCCCTGGAAGCTGTCTCTTCCTGACGATCTTTGGAATGTCTCCCACGTATTGTCTATAGAGATTGTTCAGTTGTAGACACTTGCCGAAGCTCTTTCGTCAGGGCTGCTTATTGTGATAACTGTATTGGTGACCTGTCCTTGGATTCAGAAAGATCTTTATTTATGGGCTTGTTTACTTCTTGTATTGGTTCCAAATACAATTTTTAGAGGTCTTAGCTTGAGACTTGAACAAATTTACCAATTCTGAATAAACTTTTGAAAAGGCTTTCAAATTTCAAATTAAATTCTTGATCTTTTGCTTTAATCTTCTCTGTATTGTATCTGTATCTTGTAGCATATTAAAGAGTATAGCATTGTTTTGATGCACCTCTCTGTTAGAGACTTTAAGTGAGTGTGTGATTAGGATTTGAATTATTAATACCTTCTATAGTCTTGAACCGTCGATATTAAGGAGGATTTCATCATTGCCACATCATCTTTGACCAATCCCATTTGTGTATTCAGATCTCTTTATATATCCTCTTGAAATCAGCAGCAAGTTTAGCCTTTAATATATTTGAATTCTCAGAGTTCTTTGTTGACATTGTGCAAATTGTACAAGTATATTGTTCCCAATTAAATCATGTCAAATCGTCACGTCAAATGAAAGAATAGACCACTGCTCATTGGCCAAAATTTAGCTACAGTTTTCAGAGGAATGTTTTTACTATACAGGCACTGAACATTTTACCGCATACACTTGGCATAGACCAGTACAAACAGTTATAACCACTAGTAGAATCACTTATAAATAGATCACCATTTAGATTTCTCTCTCTCTTTTCAGATCACCATTTAGATTTCTCGTGCGCAATGTGGTAATGGATTCCATGTCTTGAATGATGTAGGTGGGTGGGACTCTTTAGAATACCCGCATATCCTTGCCCTGGGTACCCACATGACCAAATACCCATAAAACTCAAAGAGCTCTTGTATAACTAATCTAATTCTATACAGAGGAAAGGAAATAAGTTTGTTAGAGAAGAAAAAAGGGGGGGGGAACTCGAATAAAATTAAAAAAATTACTACTGGAAGCCCCATCCGGAAAGCTTGATCCAGATAAACTGAAAATGTGGCAAAATAAAATCCACAAGGCAAGAATACTAATAGCATGTAAATGAAACAATAAAAGCCAACAAAATTTTACAAAAATATACCTTAAACATCAGACCAAGAAAGTATTAATGATGGTTTATTAAAGAATATTTTGCCAAATGCAAGGATATACTGCAGGCTATATGCAGAGCCACAACAGAAGAAAGCGAAGAAAATATGAATAACTATGCAAAGAAAAGGAGTGCTTACAAACTTCTTATAAAAGAAAGAAGAGCAGAATTCCTGGAGGAGGAAACTAGAAGATTAGTTGAAGAGTCAAGAGCATATCCCTTCATGGTACTAAGAGATAGAAAATATAAAGTCAAACCCATGGAAATAGCACAATCACCTGGGATGAATATTTCAAAGAAAATAAACAAGTAGCATTGTAGCACACACCCAATTGGACCAAAGGGCCAGGAAAACAAAATCTACTTCCCACAAGTAACACAAAATAACATGTGTTTCGTCCTTTCACCCCCTATCATTTTCATTATCGTGTCAACCCACAGTTACCATACCGTTACAAGCAATAGTGGTCGCTAATGACCTAGTAGTTGATGCGACCTTAAATAACAAATAAACAAAAAACAACAAAATAACATTACAAAATACAGATAAACAAAATACAAATAAATAAGAGCAAAAACAAGAAAGCTTCAGCCCTAGATTAATATATGCAGTGAACTCTTAAGAGCCGCACAAGAGACACTACTTCCACTCTAGAGTAAAATGTTCACCAAAGGCATGAGTAAGGGAGTAATACTGAATACTCATCATTATCAAAGGTAGTGGAAACTGCCTAAAGATATTGATGTTAAAAAATGAATATATTTGTGTGGCCTTTTGTGTTGTTTCTCAAAATCTTCTACACCACTTGGAGTGATAGCTCCCAAATTTTGCCAAATCATAATTGAATGTCTGAATAAAGAGGAGGGCATCCGAAGTTCTGAATGTTACATTGGTTTTCCTGCATACCATCACGGGGACATTTTTGCAAGTCTTTTACAGATTAGGAGATTGGAGGTAGATGAAGGCCAGACAGGGCAAAGCAGGTCATGCAGAAGATAAATAAATGAAAAGAATAAGAAGAGAAACCCTGTCATACCAGGTAGCTCTGTTTTGCACAGGTCATGGCCTGGCAGGGTATTTTCTTGGTATCAAATGCATTATAATATTTATGTAGAAGTCTGCGATTCTGCTTTGTGATATAAATATTAACTAAATCGACCACACAGTATGGTGTGTATTAATGAGAGTCTGCTGGGTGACTGATACTTACGGACAACTGTGGAAAGCAAGCAACAATCTGATTCATCTGTATTTCAAGACTTGCAAAAAGATTGCTCTGAGGGATGATGCTTGTGTAAAGTGCAAGTTTAGCAACATTTGAAGACTTGTAATAAGTGTGATAGTTTTTTTGGTGATTCTGGTAGTGTAAAGTTGGAATGTTTTGGATCAAGCAAGATGTAGAAAGAGGAGCACGTTTCCTTTCAGGATAAATGGAAGGAACTTTCCTAGTCTTGAAAATAGCTTTCATTGAGCTGTTCTACATTTAACAACAAAAAGTTCAAAATGATAAAACTTAAGACATGTATTACTTTTATCATACATTTCTTTTTCATTCTTGCCATGTGGAAAATCATATAACATAGCTGTGGCCCTCCTTGAGATGGTTTATAAATGTTGGACCCTTCAGCTTCATAAGTTCATGCCCTTCTGAATTTAAACAATCTAACAGTTTTTACAGCTTCTTGTTTTAATATAATTAAACATTTAGACTTAAGTATTTCTTATTTACAAGTAAAAAATCCTTTATCAAACAGCTACAATGTGTTTGAATTTTCTCATTCTTACATTTTCTTTTCCCCATTCAGCAATATGGAGAAATTGTGGACTATGTAGCAGATGATTCAACACCTTCTATCATTTTAAATTACAAGTCTCGCAAAGAAGCAGAGTTGGCCATGGTGAAGGGTCGTACCTTTCAAGATCGTTTACTTTCTGTTACATGGTGTAATCCACAGAGTAATCGAAACGTTCGGTCAGTTATACTTTTTATATTTTTCTTTATTTTGTCATGAGCTCCAAGTTATTGTTAAAAAAATATGTTGTGTGCCTTTATTTGCAGAGGTGGTCACAGTTTGATGTCTACTGTTCATGTTCACCATGGTATGAGTCATCGGTCAGTCATAATGGTTGGGAGTAATAGAGATGGTAGTGAAGAACTGATGGAGGAGGGAGAAGAAGTTCTTGTTGATGAAGATGAGGAGGTATGTACATCTTATTTTTCCAATTTGAAAAATCTTTTTGCTAGTTATGATTGTGAATTTGAATTGGTTCAAAGAAGTCTAAGTAAATCTGTACGTCATAAAAGAAGTTCATCTCTTCTAGTGATTGACTTTTTTACTGGCATAGCTAGTTAATGTTTACTAACAACAAAAAATAAGTTCTAGCTTTGCCTAAGTCAATCTTCCTTATTCTACAAAAGTTTCTGTTTTTGTTTTTTGTTGTTTTTTTAGTGCTTAATACTCAGTATTTTATTTGTGTCATAATTTTGTGATGAAAGGTAAAATAATTCAGTGAGAGCTTCAACTCAGCTGTTGTCATTAGCCGAATTTCTTAACTATGATCCATGAACTCATGGAAGTTAAAGAGGAAGCCTCCCAGATTCCCAAATGGGTGACTGTATGGGAATCCCTGTTACTAATGGTGCCAAGCCCCTGACTGAAAGGATAAAGGCCATGACTGACTGATATTATGAGAAAAGAGACCAAATTTAATGAAGGATTACTGCAATTATATGTTTGCTCAGTATCCAAAAGATGGTGAAAAATATGCAACAAAAGTTATAAAAATTACTCAAATAACAGAAAATTTAATGTCAACATTGCTTGAAAATTCATTGCTTTTAGTTTAAGCAGTTACCTGCATAAATGTTTCCATTTGGTCCAAAGCTTTGAAATTTGTAACAGGTTTAGTTTTATAAGTGTTCTGATGTAATCATCAATTATTGCAGCTTGGAATCGCTGAACTAAGTGAAGATGTACTTCTTCAAGATGATGAGGAGGAGGAAGAAGACGGAGATGAAGATCGCAGCTGGCGGCGATAGCACTGACGTTAGCGATGCATCGCTTGTCAAAGTCCTATTAGAATGTTGTAAATAAAGGTTGAATTTAGTACATTTGTATTCTGCAGGGTTTTCACAAGGAATTGTATGGATACTACTGCATCAATGTGTCTCAAAATACCATGAATTCTTCGGAATTTTGTAATAAACTTTTTCATGACATGTTGTTGAGTGTCATACAAGAACCTAACTTTATAATATACAATTTTCATGTATTTCTTATTTAAATGTACTTTTAATTAATGTTTTTAATTCTCTTATTTACATTATTACTTTATTGGGACAAATGAAGGTATATATGTGAATCGGTTGATCTTAATTTTTGTTAACTTCCAATATGAAATGATCATAAGTTTCAGAAACATCTCAATCTCTCTTCCATTAAGAGCATTATCGGTATCCATACAATTCTTCGACTATTCTTCGTTACATTTGTACATAAGTCACTTCACTTTCTGATAGCCTTGGAATTATATTCCAATTTATAGTATTTGCTGTTTGGTGAACTTTTTTGTCATAAGTTTGATTTTGAGTTTGCCAGTGGATTAGAATATTAATAATGAAAAAGGTTCAGGTTTCACATTTCACCAAAAAAATAATGTTACATTTCCTGTACTGCCAAATCAATTAGTTATATTTTGTGTGGTGTAATTAAGCATTTCAAAACGGTATTCAAAGCATTTTTAATTCTCTAATACATAGTACTGGATTCACAATATCTGTTAATTGTTGCACTAGCATGTGTTAATTTTTGTAAAAGAAATGACAAAAATTCCTTCAGGTGTTGTTGGTGCTTGGGTAAAATTAATAATAGTATGATTTACTATTGAAGTCTAAAATGGATACAAACTGTGTGAATTTGCAATTGTTTTCTGTAATTTCACAAGTTCAATTCACTTCAGTCAAGTTTTATGCACTTTTTGTTTTTTCTGGTGAACTGTTCAGAAACATGTAAGTTACCATGAAATTCAGTCATTTTTAAACTGCACAAGTTTTTGTTCTGGTGCATTACCAAGAATATGTTCATTTCATTTAGATTTGTGCTTGTATTTAAATGTTTTTTCCATGTTAGTATACATTGTATATTCTTTCTATCTCCAATGCATATGACATTTGTTGTCACTACATCCTGTCATATTTCTTGTTACAATAATTAGAAGGAGAATTTGAGGCAATGGATTGCTTTTTGACATTTTTACCCAAATGGATATAGTTATTTGAAGTTGATTAGATTCTGTTCAAGATTAAACACAATTTCAAGCTTTTTGTTATAGGACGTTGGCATTTTGCCTATCAAATATCAAACAACCAACACTTTATTTGAACATTGTACAACATAGGAAACTATTCAGTCTTAGAAGTAATATTTTAGTCTTGAAAGCATGTTTGTTAGATGTACTTCATGTAACTGTACAATTTTATTTGTAATTGTAGTATGATTTCTGTATGGGCCAAAATATGTATTATTGTTTATAAGAAATGTGCTTTGAATATGGCAAAAAGAGAGAAAAGATTTTTAATATGCCATTAAAAAATAATTAAAAAAGAAATAAAGGAAAAGAATCAGAAAACAGCCATTCAAAGCACCAAAATTTTGTACAAAGAAAGAAAGAACTTACGTGTGAACAGACATTAAAGAAAAGAGAAAAATATAAAGAAAACGAAACAAAAGAAAAGAATGATGAAAAGAAAAGATTCTGTCTGATTCACAACAAAACAAATTAATATTCTAAAAGAGCAAAAGTGTCAGCCTGTGAGCATTCCTGGTTTAATTTTACAAATTAAATTCTAATTTCCTTTTTTCTCTCTCTTTCCAGTTCCAGAGACTTCAGTTGAGTGGCTTTGGAAGAAATCCAAAATATCAGAGAAGAATGAAAGCACATACGCTAGTTACTCTGTTAATTTTATATTGTAAATATCTAAATTTCATATATATATGTACATATGTATGTATATGTGTATATATATATGTATGTATATGTGTATGTATATGTGTATATATATATGTATATATATGTGTGTATAAATGTGAATATATATGTATATATATGTGTGTATATATGTGAATATATATGTATGTATATGTATATATATATGTGTGTATATATGTGTATATATATGTATGTATATATGTATGTATATGTATATATGTATATAAACAGAAATAAAAAAGCAAATGAATTGTTGTGTAATTGCGTGCTTTTTTTATCTGTATTATTATTTCTTTGTGAACAAATATATTCATTTCTTTTGTAAATAAACAATTTACTTATTTCTGCTGTACTTAATTTAACAAATTATTTGGCATTAATGGCAATTATTTTCTTATACTGAAATGTAATGGTGAAAAAGGTCCATTCTTAAGAAATACCTCTAAGGCTTGAGTCGTTGCTCGTAAAGTAACGTGTTTCGAATATTATGTTAAACGGCAAATGAACACTTATCCAGTCCACATAGGATACTCTAATAACACCTACATTCACCAAATTTTTTATTCAATTTTTTTGAAATGGTTTTAACAATTTTTTTGTCTTTGTTTTTTTAATTGATATGTTGGGAATCAAAATATACAACCAAATTTAAAATATACATTGGCTCTTAGCAAACTTTGTACCTCTACCCAATCAATAGGTTGATTTCGTTGGAAAACTGACAACCTCGCCTATCTCTTACATACCTGAAAAATGGCTTTTAAGGTAGAATCATTAGAATAACTATATACACTATAAAGAAGATATATAAGAAAAATATGTATTGTAAAAGTAAGTAAATTTCAATAAATTCGAAAAAAGTAGAGAAAAACTTGTAAAAATTTTAATTTGTTATTCCAAATGATTGACAAGACATACATTCTTTTACTAAAATTATTTTACGTATATTTCCAGAGGGAAATTGGTGGATCCCAAAAATGGTATATTTGTTTATAATGGTTAGAGTTTTTCCACATTTTGAATACAAGCAACCTAAGAGTGCGGTTTCAAATTTGTATAAATGCCTTATAAAATTATGAAAGAATCTTGAGTAAATTTTTGGAAAGGACTTTTTTAACAAAACACAAGGATTGGATAGGAAAAAATAACTGTTGGCTGTTCGTTCTGCTGCCAAAAACCTTTAATTTACTCATTGCCCTTTGATTGGCTGTGTGGTTTACCATTACCTCTCCATGATATGCTCACTGCAATTGGTAGAATATGTGATGACTAGAGGGTGGATTTTTCTTTTTTTCTTGTTGTTGTTCTTCTTCTTATTATTCTTGCTGTTCTTTTTTATTTTTTTCACTTTAGAACAATGCCAATTTCATTTTATGTTACAACAAAACTAAATGACCCATTTTTATACATATTTTTTTTGCATTTTTTGTCCATTTTGACTGATAAGTTGTTTTTTATTTTTTTACGTCTTCACTGCATTGTTTGCGGATTTCATTGATTGTAATATATTTTTAGCGGCACTTGCTTCAACAATATTTACAAGGTGTGACAAACGTTCACCACAGAATTCCTGAGTTGCCTATTCGATTTCTTCACTCATATATTGTCAGCCATGGAGTACTATGTAATGTAAGGTTCCTGTGATGCATATTTGTGCCATTGTCAGTTCGGCCAATATCAAGATAAATAAGGTCGAAACTTTCTTTTAAAGAACAGTTAAACTCAAAGTTTGCAAGCTGCATTCACGTGAACAAAAGGAAGGAGCCTCGATTATATCAGTAATATATCCAACATCTTGAGTTGTTCATCTGAAGTGGTTTTGATCAAATTTTTTTATGTCAATTTCTTTGTTTTTAAAGCATTATATTCCTTTTCATCCTTTTTGACAATGTTTTAAGTCATCAAAATCTGCCCCCTAGTGATGACAAATATTTATAACAGCAAATACAATAAAACTTCCCTTTAAAGTTTTTCAGGGGAAGGGGAATATGTAAGTGAGAAAAAGGGCATAACTGAAATTGATTTTCATGAACAAAATAAAAACTCATTATTTTTACACTATCATTTTACCATTTTACCTAATTTTTTAGCAATATCTACTTTTATATTGCAGTGGCAAATACAGAGGAATCCAGGTGCAATTCAAAATATTTTGGTAGAATGTGACACAATACAGATTTTGTAAGATGTCGCAGTCTACACTCGGCTCATGCTATTATATGATTTTATTAGTTTTAATGATTATCCAAAAATCTTTTTATTTGAAAGTTTCAGTACAAGTTAAAATTAATAACTACCGAAACATTTTAGGAGGGGAAACTTCCCTCTTCATGGATTCGCGCCTGTTTATTGCCACTCTCCCGAACAACTTAAAATTTTTTTTTATTTTATCTGATGTTGAAAGGAGTTGCCTTTTCCTACCACTCTTTTTGATTTAATATCGCGGGCGCAAAATCAGATAGAAGACGTACTATACTTCGATTTAAATATAGAGCCACAAATTACATCGCTGATCAGCTTGGAAAAATATTGTCAGCTGAGGGTCATCTTCAAAGAAGTCTCCCCTGAGGTGGAAGTAGCGGACACACAATGAGGACCTTACTGATGACTTTGTTCGACTCAGTTTCACTACAGAAATGAAGGCCGTTTCCTGCTTGGGCTACAACTGGTGGCGGCGACTCGCGGCTAGTTGCTTCGGTTTCAAGCTCGATGTTACTTGAAATTCGGCACAAGTGGGCGACAGGAAGCCCCACAGCTTGGTGGCATCCTCTGCGCTGTGCCGGGAGCCTACTTTGCCCTACCACCCCACGGGTTCGTGCAGTCTTGGCCCCTCAACTACGCCGAGTTGATTTTCTATATTACCAGTTTCATTAGTGGGAAGTCGCCTCCGAGTCCCCACGGGAGCACTCTGGAGCGTGCCGACTCTAGTAACGGGTAACTACAAGTTCCGGGCTCTTGATGCAGGTTGTCCAGCGCCTCACCGGAATCATTTGAAAATTATAAGGTCTTACAGGAACTTTTATAATAAGTATTAGTGTGAAAAACAAAAAAACCCATAACTGAAATATTTAAGCACGCAAATTATAGGAATTTAACTGGGACTTACCAAAAAAATAGTATAAATGGACAGTGAAACTCTGTTTGCATGTTTTTCACATCTTAACATTAGAAAAAAGAACAGTTGCTGATACCAGATCCATGATACTGTAACAAGTTCTTTAACTGGAACTAAGCCATAAGATGGCTTTTGTCAATGAGATCTTGCAATTAAAATGGCCATTTAAAATACTGGTGATTTTTTCTCTTAAAACTAACTTTTTGTTATAACTACATTTCAATGCATTACTTATTCAATATTTCTAATGGATCTTACCTCTTATCTATAGGTTGTGGACTCAATTTGTGCATTGAATGAAACTATAATAGAAAATAGGAAACAAGTGAAAGGAGATATGTTGCAAAATATCTTACACTTTCTCCAGAGAAGCATTTTTTTAACACATCCCAGTAGTATCAGTTAAGCTCTGCTTAATAGGTGTGAACACTTTTTTATTCTTTCACTTCAGTATGGCTAGTAGTGCAATACTTGCAATTTTAAAAACACAATTTTCTCAAAAGATCGAAAAATTATTTCTTTAATCCTTATATGTCCAGTGTTGCATTTTCACAACAATGTGCAACAATGCATACTTTTGATTTTCAACAATTTCTGTATGGTGCAACACTACATTGTATGTTAGGTGCTTCATTTTTAAGGTTTAGAGAACAAATTGATAAAGTGTGTTGATTGTTATTTGCATATCGTTTAAAAGATTTTACTACATACAACATGCATTTATTTGCAGCAGTCACTATCAAATAAGTGTAAAAGTGGCGGTGTCTGCCCAGTGTTGTGTTTTTGCAACACAATGCTTGTGCAAAAAGGCATGTAAACAGTGAAAAATCACATTTAAAAAGGAATTATCACAAAAAATTAATCACAGTTTTATTCTAACTCTAAAATTTACATTAGCACTTAATGTGTAAGAAAACTAAATTTTCTTTGTAATCATGATTCCATGTAGCCATAACTATTCGGAATTGCCTCATCCTCTTCCCAGCTACAACCCAAATACAGCTAAAAAAAATTGGGATCCGTTTTTTTTTTAAATGGAGTTTACGTTTTTCCAAAAATGTGCAATTTTGAGCTCATTTTCACGGAAAACGGTTGTTTTCGAGAATCCTTATTTGACATTATTTAAAGAACATTTTAAGAGTGACATATTAAAGAGAGCAATCAGCACTGTTGTTCGAAAAGTCTGAAAAATGGCGTTTGAACATTTCTGAAAATATATAATTTTGAGCTAACTTTCACAGAAATAGTTCAGTTTTCAAGAAACTTTATATGATATTATTTAAAGCACATGTACTCATAAATATAATAATGTGAAAAACTTGCCGCTAATGTAAATAAAAAAGGATGTGAAAGCCCAGTGAAATAATTTTTTTTTTTTTGAAATTTTTGAAAAAAAATAAAGAATAAAGCAATAAGTCATTTATATGATCTCATAGAGTACATTTAGTACTATCCCTTCTAAAAGTTTAAGGGCACTTTTAAAACATTCTAAGTGCATTTTAATGATCACTTTTTTGGCAATGTTTTAGGTCATCAAAATCCACCCCAGGTACACTGAAAAAAAGTAACACCTATATCACAACAAGATTTCAATAGTTACACAAAGCCTTGTTACGGGAAACGGAAACATTGAGGATTTATTCCTTTCCCTGGATGCAACAGCATCAAAGATAAAAGACAACATTGATGGACTATCTGGCCTGTGTTTGCTGATAAGGTGATGATGCTTCATAAACGGACCTGGTCCCCTCCTCAATGCTATACACGTTGCAGAGCAGTTACAGGTCACAGCAGCAAGGTAGCTTGTCAGATGACCCCAAAGAGC